CACTCCCATCCGGTCACATGGGCGGCAAGCCACTCCCACAAAGGAGGCCACACCCACAGAGTAGGTTCGAACAATTTTTGAAACCCACCACTGACGTTCATATACATGTCATTTTCATTTCAAGGATCAACCTAGTCATGGTTACTCTTTTATTTCCAAGAGGGAAAAACGATCTATGTGGATATTTTAACGGGACAACACTATGGGCCTGAGGTTTTCTTTGTCTGCCCTAAAATATCACAACCAACATCTGGATTTTCTTCCCTACAGATACTTCTTTTTTGGTTGCAGATACATTTGAGACATCATTTTCACAGCTCAACCAAGATGGGAATGAATGGGAATCTTTTGAGAGATATACCTTTCAAGAGAAGGCTTGCCATGCGATCTTTTTTCCTACAAAACCAATTTGGCATTGCAATCATTTGTTATCTTTAAGAAAGCACTGACACAAGATGTAACATGGAAGCAACTTTAGCATTCATTTGGGGGGAAAAATGGTAATCTTTTAAAAGTCTACAGGTGTGGCTGTTTTGTCTAAGTGTTGAGTGAAGCGTGATGACTGGAACTGACATAATTCTGGCTGACTAGCTTTTAAGTAGAGAGGATTTTGAACAGGGCTCTTTCAACATTAATATTTTAGAGGAAGATGAATTCAGGTTATTATGCAAGGCATGTGTCACAAAGAAGAGTTGGAAAATTATCAGTTGCTTCCTCCATTTGCAAGTAATTAATCCTCAATAAATGAGCATGACATACTTTATAGTATATATAAAGTCATATTTATATCCTAACATTAAGGATTTAGGCAGGATTTAGCTGTATTTTTATATTTCATTTACCATACATGTATACCATACATTTCGCTTAAATTAAATCACTTTTCATAGCATATTGCTTTATTTTTAATTTGCCAATTTAAACATCTCATACGCCTTCACTATAGTAAGCTAACATGATAATATCTATTAGTTCAAATGTGCAAGTCTAAGGAAATATTAACAGTGGTGAAATTTCAACCAGGCCAGAAAAGATCTTTACTTTTTAATCTGAAAGTCTCACAAAATAATTTATACAACAGTAAATGGCAGAGACACTCCACCCTCAAGCACAGACTAAACAGATAGACATTGTTTTCTTTATTCAGAAAATAAGCCCAAACTCTGTGTGTAATAGTTCACTGAGACACAGTTCCCAGGAAAGGTACATCAGAGTTAATCTTATTTAACTTAATCTTAACTTAACCTTAGTTAAAGAGATTAAGCATCTTTTTGGAATGGAAATCTGAAGGTTATTAAAACGCAGGACTGCAAATAGACAAGTCCATTCCAGAAGTATTTGTTATTTCCAGTCACCTTGATACAATTATAGTGTTGCCTTCAATTAAACAGAAAACTCCTTTTTTGAATTCATGAAAAAGAAAACTTATTAGAAAAAGAGATTAGATGCAAATAGACCCCACTGTTAGTTCCAGTCATGGTGCCTGAATAATTTTTTCTCCCCCCCCCACCTTTGAAAAGAAAGTGGGCAAATTGATACTTTTGAAGACTTAGCATAATTCCAGATTGTATGTTTAAGTTTTGATAGCAAACCATAAGTTTTGATAAACAAAATTAATTCGCTTCCGTTAAAACACTGAGAAAATGTATTCCGTATTCACAAATATTGAAAGATAATTGATTCAATGCAGGAGAAAGCAGAGTTGGTATAGGAATGAAAATTGATGCAATTAATAAATCACTGTTGGAAAATAAATTAAAATATAGGTTAAATATGGTTTAATTATGGGATAGCAACGGAAAGCAGTAGTAGTACCTGAGCGTGGCACGCCAAAACCGCAGTAGACTACAGCGCGCCCGACGAAAGCGCGTACGTGACGTCATCAGCAGCGCGACAAAAAAAAATTAAAAATAAATTAAATTAAAATTAAAATTAAAANAGGGTTTACAGCGTGCTTCTGTCTCCACGCTGTTGTCGCCCTGTTGATGACGTCAGCGACGCGGTTTAGTCGAGCACGGTTTTGTGGGTGAACCCTGATCATATAGAACCATCACACCTAAGAAAGCTGTTATCTTCACTACAATAGCACATACTCTTCAAACACCCGTCTATCTTGCAAATATTATGGCATTTTAAGCCTTTTCTATGTATTAATGGTTTCTATATTATACGATATTTCAATTAATACCCACATTATTTATAGGATATCCCTCACTTTTAAGCTTTGTAAGGCTTAGAGACAGTCCCTGGCCTACTGTTACACATGAATTGTAAAATGAAGTGGCTACTTGAATGTAGGCTTAATAATTCTAATTAGCATATCACCTGGCTTCCTAGATAAATTATAAAGCAGGATGGATAGAAATATAGTTTCAGATTCTTATAAACCCAGGCTAACTTTTTGTGAGACGTGAAAAACTATTAAATATGATATGTGGTAGGACTGATCTTCTTTTGCATCTCGGACAACAATTTGGTTCCCAAAAATATATAAAATTCTACTGATGATAAAATATAAGCCCATCAGATACTCAACAAGCTTTTCGTGTTCTAGAAGGAACACTATCGATTTCAGCTAGAATAAATTCTGTAGAATAACTAATCAGCATTGGAATGACACTGAAATTCAATAAATCACTAGTTTTGAAAGTGAAACCTTGAAAAACCTTGGATGTAGTTTAAAAGCTTAATAACATATTATTTATAAGACAGCAGCACATCAGTTCCTAGATGATATAGCCATCTTCTGTCCTGACATCTTAATGATTGATATACCATACATCCTATGGCATGTGCATTTACGTGTTATCTCCTTAACCTGTTGAGGGGAGGACACCAGCATTTTGCATATCTTTAATTCTGGCACCTTCACTTTTTTTTAACATACAAAGGCCTTCTCCACATCAATGAGAGAGCATGGCAAGATTCATTGCCTTTTCTATGATACTCCAAAGAGCAAAGCATATACAGTATTTTGCACAGTTCATTGAGAGAAGGGAAAAGGAAAATAGGGGAAGAAAAAGATTGAGAGATATGCTCAACAGGGCTGATACCTGGTTATCAGATCAGAATCATGCAAAACACCTGGGTAACTTCTCTGATTGACATTTGTAGGAGGAACAGAAGATGCTTCCATTGGAGGATCAGCTGCACAGAAGATAAATATTTCACACATTTAAAGTTGTAGAAACGATGACATAGATCAGTGTTTCTCAACCTTGGCAACTTGAAGATGTCCGGACGTCAACTCCCAGAATTCGCTGGCTGGGGAATTCTGGGAGTTGAAGTCCAGACATCTTCAAGTTGCCAAGGTTGAGAAACACTGACATAGATAAAACTTCAATTGGTCCCAGTATATACCTGTTAGGGACCTCATTTCATTTAGCTGCCTATCTCACTTTGTTATCAATTATGTTTAGGAGCTCATGAAAACATTGAAGTGAGATTGGCAACCTTTTTTCAACTGGGAGCTCTCTATTAAACCATTAATGCAAAACAAGTTACAAGTTAACTTGCTAGAATGTTAAGCACATCCTAACCTTATCCTACATTTGGAAATATAAACTTTTTCCTGACAAATGAAGGATGATCAGCCAGTCGATAGAAAATCTGTGAATATGGTCCACGCTTTCTATCCAGGTTTCTGTCAGTCAAACAGACATGCAGTTCATTGCTATCCAGCGGGACCAGTATGGGAAAGCAGTTAAGATGATGGATTACGAGTGGGAAAACTCGGCTGTACTATTCTCTTAGGGTGATGTTGGGCCAAGTACTCCTCCTCAGGCCAAATCAGGATTAGGTTCTATAATGAGAGGAAATACAACTCCCTGTTGCATCATGGATTGACAGCTTAATTGTGTGAACTGAAGGAATGCAGTTCACAAACAAGCAAATCCTGAAACCAAGCAGGATATATGCTAGAAATAACAACAAGGTTCTTTGAATGCTGTTACTTGAAGTTCTACTTTAGTAAGCAAAAAGGACATAATATAAATCATAGGGCGGTAGAGAGATCTGGATACAAAGGGACATCATTGTCCCTTAAAGCACTGAGGTTGCACAAGCCAAGACATGATGAGATGCACAAGTAAACTCACGAAGCTTTCTTGACTGAGTTACATTATTGTTATACATAAACTATTACCGTATTTTCACGACTATAAGCCGCACTGAAAATCCTAAAATTTGATCAAAAACCGGCAGTGC